AATTCTGCGGTGCATAAATCTGCTCATTCTAAAAATATTTTTTTGTATTGTATTTGGTTTTAAAAAATAATTAAAGTTACATTTATCCTACGGAGACAATGTAAAAAATTATTTTTAGAGTGAGCAGATTTATGCACCGCAGAATTCTGAACACTCTAATCGGTATTATCATTTTATGTATAACAATACGTGACCTGTTGTACAACAATCTGATTGTTTGTATAAACTATAAAAAGGTAAAATGTACGACTAACATGGGGGACATTCGAATCTGATAATTTCTGAGATCGACATTACACAAGTATTTATATAGGATAGTAGTGTAAAACCAGAATTTTCGGGTATAAGTGAACTAAAAAAAAAACTAACCATCCAATACTTTACTAATAAAATACCTTCATAACAAACATCTTGTCAAGAAACTAAGTTGCATCGTGTTGCATCGCATTGCATTGCGCTATAAAAGGTAGATCTCTTAAGAGTTAAAGTACTATCTACCGTATAGTAAAATGTAAGAAAAGTATATTGCACTGCTTAATTCGCAAAATTTAACGTTGTTTTTTTTTTTTTTTTTTTTTATATTTCAATTATTAACTTGTTAATTTTTATTTATAAACTTACACAGTCTTTTTTTTTAAAGTTATACATATTTCTTAAAAGATATTTGACAAAGTAGAATAATTTAATATGTATGATAGTATAGTTTTATTAATTATGCAAGATTTTAAGAAAAACTATTGAAGGACGTGTAACTTGTATTAAAAATCTTTTAAATGAGTTTTTATAATTGTAAAATTGCTGTTATAATGTGGATGAATAGTCTGATTTCTTTATAATGTGTTATTTTACTTTAAAGCTAAATTATGAACGAAATCATAGATACGAGTAATGCCCGTTGATTAGCTGCCTTAGTTCAACGATTATCTATCTGTTTTTGATCATGTGTTGATAAAGCAGTTTTGATTGGTTAATTATTATATGACAAAGCCTGCGTTTTTCCGAAAAGTAAGAAAGTCTTCTATGCTTGTATAACTATTTCTTACTAAAAAAATTTTTTCGCTTTCTGCGCAAGTTGTACAACTTTTATTACACAAAAAAAATAAGAAACCATGTCTAATCATACCTTTCTTCTGTCAGTCGAAGAAATTAGTGAATGGAGCCCAAATATAGTTATTGCTTTTCTGAAGTCTTATAATTAAGAAAAAAAGTTATTTCTCAGAGATGAAGACATTAAAATAATTAAAGATAACTGGGTTCGTGGTTCAGCATTCTTTAGATTAAATGTGGATAAGCTCACGAGCTATAGTAAAAGGAGGACCAGCTGAAACCATTGCTGAACTTATTGAGAAAATCAAGGACGAAGGACAGGATAAGTAGTACCACGACTGCATTCGAATATTTCATTTATTAACTGTGCTTTATACGCATGTTATATAGCACCAATTGCATCGAATCAAGAGTTGCAAGAATTGAAGGAAAAGCTGGCAATGCTACAGAATGGTAAAAAAGGTAAGTAGTGTAAATATCTCTGACTTTAATACTATTTTCTCGCTTTATTAATTGAGAGCTTTAATATATTATTTATGTTGACTACTGTACTGGTTTTATTTTTAGTTACTTTATACTTCCAGTATCATAACTCAAGAGTTATATGTTTTAGCATCAATGGTTGGGAAGATCTAACTCAGTTGCATGGACATTTGAAAGGAGCATTTGATCATCTTAAAGGCACTCTGGACCTTTATAAATATGTTATTGGTAATAGAGAAATAAATATTGGTTTATCAAAAGAGGAATTTATCGCTTTCATTGAAATGTACAAGTGTTTGGACAACAATCCAATCAAAGTTATTGACTTAAGGAAAGGTATGATATTTCAATTATTGACTGATTGCAAATGTTCTGAGCTAACGCAATTTCATATACAGGTGTCAAAAGGTTATACTTTGAAACAATGAAAGATTTACCAACAGCATCAGAACTTGGAAAGCCTGCAGAGTTTTGTAAGTGACAACGGACAACTAAAGTTTTTTGCCATAATAGTTATTCCCCAATTGCTTATAGCTCTATACCTATTACTCTATATTGCTCGATTTTTGGCCAATTTAAGGATTTCTGTAAGGAAGATCCAGAAAAAGTGGACAATTATTTCACCTATGAATTTTGTTGTGCAATGGCAAAATTTTATGATGACAAGGATGCTCATCAAAAAGTCACAAATAAAATGTTATTTGAATATTTTGGTTGCTTCATACAACCAATTGAACTCTCTGCAAATATAAAAACCGGTGATAAACCTAGTACTGATGGCACTATAAGCTTTTCTGGTCCTTATGCATATTAATGTGGAATACAAGTGTGAGCTCTATTCTTCTAAATCCTGCCCCAATCTTGAAAACTGCAGGTATTATTTAACTTTCTGTACGGAACAAGAAGACCACTGTCATGTGACTAATTTTCTGTGCTTTTTAGTCGTAATTGCAGGTATGGTATAGGTTTGGTTTGGTATATTTTTGTCAGAATTTATGAATGAATTTGATTGCATTTAGAGCCTTATTTTTCTGTTTCTGGTGCTGTGCTTTCAGATAAAGCTATAATTGATCCACTTACCCCATTATATCCTCTTGCTTGGCATAAACATAATAAAATGAAATTATCAATTTTTAAAATATTTCGTGCTCTAAAGAAATCTCTTCAACTTCTCGATCAATACTATGCAAAAGTTGATGATAAACTAGTTTGAAAAATCCTTCAAACCTTCAACCCTGAGCATCCTTCATTTCCTGAAGTGATTATAGACGACAAATGTTATAAAGTTCAAATTGAAGAAAATATTATCAATTGTCTTTGGAATGTTATACTTTCGAACGAGCAAAAAATATGCGAGAAAGCCTATGTAAAAGCTATTCAAAAACATAAATATTCACTTGATACACATCAGCTCTTAGCAAAAATTAGATATGCTCTAAAAATCTTAGCTACTTCATTTATTCCTGGAAATTGGCTTTTGATTTATATAGAATATTTGGAAAATCATTTAATGCTAAGTTATGTCACTAATAACCTTAATGACTAAAATAATTTAAAAGAGAAAATTGAAAAGGTGGTTAAGTATATGCATGATTCAGAATATGTATATGGGACTTGCATGAAGGGAATATTCTATTTTGTTGTCTTGAAAATAACGAATTTGATGTGAAATTAATCGATTTTGAATGGTCTGAAAACATTGGTTCTGCATGTTATTCTTACTTTATGAATCCTAAAATACAATGGCCAGATGGAGCAGAAGATAGGAAATTAGTAACAAAAACTCACGATCTTGTTATGTTGAATCAGACGCTTCAGAGAACAGGCTTATTATAAGATCAAATGGAATATTAAAATTTAGTAAGAGTGGATCGATTAAGTTTAGCAATATAACCTAGTATTAGTTAATCTAGCATGTAATGTTATTAATAAAAAAATAATAATCTCACATTTTTGTATTTTTGCTGTATTAGAATTTGATTTGGCAGTTATCAATAAAGCTGATCCTGGTGGTCGATTTGCATACATAATCAGTTAAATTTTGCATATATATTTGTGAATTTATTTTATTATATTATTATCAATGTACTGTACATTACTCACATATCGAGAATTTTTAAAATTTTTCTTTGCAATTTTCTGAGACGGCCCCGAAAATTATTAATTTAATAAAGTTATAGGTGGAATCGATTTACACGATCGCATTAAAATAAAAAATGGCGAGGTTACCAGATCTCCTCTTTATTTCATAAAAATTGTTGCCCAAACGAACAACAATATACAAATAAAAAAATATAAATAAAAAATACAAATAAAACTTTTGAACATATATACATCTTATATAAAACAATGGGAAACTCCAAATCTGAACTAGATTTATTGAAACAGAAGAATGTCAGACTTATGGCTAGAATCGCAGAATTGGAACAGATTGCAAAAGAAAAAAATAAGCTTAAGGTAAGAATCGTGGAATTAGAATGATCTGCAAAAGAAAATATTGAGCTTAGATCCAGGGTTGCGAAATTAGAACAAAAGCTATCACAAAATAACTCAAGAAGTAAGGGTGCTGGAGAGTTCGAACTAGTAGATATATTTATTCCAAAAGAACAATCTTCGGCTAATATCAGTGGTACGGCCAATGCCTCTCGTAGAATGAATTTTGATGATACATCTAAACAGATCAAATTTAATTCCTATAATATATCTGATAACACTTCAAATCCTGATATATGTCATGAGTTTTTATTCCAATATCTTGCGCTATCTATTCGCAAAGAGAGTAAATTATTGGAAGATAAGGCGGTCGATGAATTCTTAGGTTTGATATATAAAGAAAAGGTTAGTAAAGAGATAATTCAGAGAATTAGGGAGAAGAAACTTCAGAAACAAGAATTTTCCTCTATATCGGTTGAAGAATTATGTAGTGAAAAAGTGAGTCCAAAAGTCCCACTTGAGCAAAACAGCAAATTGGTGCTGATACAGCCTGAAGAAACAAAAGTTTCGCATGATTATATAGTCGCCCACCCAAGTTGTAACCAAGCACAAAGTATCATTTCTTCTGAAATAAATATTATGACCAAGCATCAACCCTGTGACCCCGGGTCTCACCCTTATATGACTGAAACTAAAAACGATTCAATTCAGAAGGATAGCCAAATTGAGATGCAAAAATTTATACAAGAATTATATTTGGAACCCGTATCAGAAGAATCAATTGAAGTTATTAAAAATAAAGAGCCAGATATATCAGATCACAATGAAAATGACAAACATATTGTTATCAAATTGGCTCATTTATATCAAAAAACAAGGAAAGCTAAAAAGAATACTATCTATGCTAAGCAAGAAGAAATTTTAAGCTGGTATTATTATGTGGAAGGTTTCGAAAGGAGGGTTAATGATAATTTATCTATTTGCTGAAATAATAAAAGAGCAAATGACTTGGCAAGAATTCAAGTTTATGATGAAATTTGGGATGTCTTTCTGGTGTCTCACGTGAGAATTTTCGCAAGCAAACTCAAAGAGCTTGTAAGATTTATAAATTATTTAATGGTATAGGAAAAGATAAGATTAAACAAGTTAAATCTTATAGTGCGAATGGAATATCAAAACTTTCTAACTCACAAATTCAATATATTATAGAACATTTTATCAAAGAATCCTGAAATAGTAAGGATACTTTTACTTCTAACAAAGTAGAATGTGTACCATGTGACCTTGGGTCTCACCCTTATGTGATTAAATCGTCTGACTCAGATGATTTAGTGTAAAGTGAGGTAAGTGCATCACCTAAGCATAGCGAACTTTATTGTGATTGGCTGATTTTTGTAGATCATCTGGTCATACTAAAGTATTATTAAAGTAACAATTTTCTGTCACGAGAGTCACAAAAATTGATTCGCAGCCACGAATACGAATTCGCAGAGGTTGTGATATAAAAATTT